TTTTTTTTCCTTGTATTACTTAGAGAAATTTGTATAGTCCATCTTATGCATGTAGGTCAAATAAAAGATCAATCATCACCAAACTAAAGGGTTATCATCATTGGGATTGCTCACATACTTATAAATGATTGCAGATGAAATTGGTAATTAAAAAAAATATTGTTCTAATAACCAGTGTTCTAAAATGCGTAATGCGTTACGATGCGTCGAGGTCGAGAATCAAGAATCACAAATTAAGCGTGTTAATGCGGAGAATATGCGTTATAATGCGTTTCGTACTTTTAATATTATTTTAATATAATAAATAAATTTTTATATTTAAAAAAAACAATTTTTTATATCATATCAAAAAAAAAAATTACAATGGGACGTCTCAATGCGCGCATAGGCTCTCCTGATGCGTGCCTATGTGCGCATTGTCGGGTATTGAAACGTATAGGCGCGCCAAGGCGGTCAACAAAACCCGTTGACCACATTTTTACGCGCATTGCCCAATTTGACTTGTTTTTTACCCGCGTCGCGCCTAGGCGGCGCATTTGCGCGAATTTTAGAACATTGCTAATAACTACCTTACGTCAGAATTGAGAAATTCTATGTTCAGATCTATTCTAATTTTTGCTTCCTCTTCTCCCTCTGAATCAAACTTTTCGTTGCAGTTTAGGTCCTATTGCAGATGAAATAGGTAATTAAAAAAAAAGTTATGGGCCAAAAAATAAAATATAAGAAGTATAAGGTTGTATGCCCAAATGTAATTATCACTTGTAGGCCTTCAAACCAAACAAAGCATGTTTAACTTTCACACCCACTATTCATTTTTTATTAAAAAATGTGAGGACCAATTTTATAATTATCGATTCTTTAGCCAAGCCGATTAACATATAGCCGTTAAGAAATACAACGACTTCTGTATGGAAAACAGTCGGCTCAAGCTGAGAGAGTAATCAAGAGCTGCTAGCCACGCCCCAAAAGGCCAAACTTAACACGCGTACCATTAAGTCCCTGTCCACCAGGCCCCAACCCCACTTTGGCTCCTTTTTATTAGACGGCGGCTTAATTTGGCCCAGTGACGGCGTTGGGTCCCACAAGCCGAACGCCCGCCAATGGCTGTAAATTTGACCTTTTCTTTTCTCCACTTTCGCGGAGTAAAGATAAAGAATGCTAATTTAAGTAAAGGAAGAAGACTTGTACTTAGTGTGAAATTAATGCTCAATTAAGGGAAAGAAATGGCCACCCAATTTCACGAGATAATATGTTTTATTCGACAGATAGGCTCGAGATTCAAGGTGCTTTAGGACACGAAGTTTAGTATACAATATCTAACGAGATTAAAATCCTCGTTTGACGAAAAGGTCAAAAACTAATTATGAAAGTACTTTGTTTGATTAAATGCTCCTTCGAAGAAGCTGTAATAAGATAACTTTCTCAATAGCTCTACTACAAAAAGCAAAAATCGTGTCAAATGGTCCTTAAGCAATACAATACGTAAGTTTTTATGTTCTTATTATCTATTTATATTATTCGATATTTTGCAATTTATTTCGACTAAGTCGTTGATAATTAAGGTTTAACCTAGGCTCGTTTTAATGATTTGAGGATACAATATTCTTCAATATGTTTGTGTGATGAAATAGACAATGTTGAAGTTATTGCAAGACTGAAAAGATACCACCACCGGCAAGAATTGGTGGAGATAGTGGTGGCGCAAAGGGACTCCACCACTACCCAGACATTGTGGCATGAACTGGATGCATATTGAGGTTTAGACCCCTTGTTAAAGGCAAAACTTGCCACATAAATTCCTTCCAAAAATCCCACGTTGTACCGTTCAAACGGGATTTGTCGGCTGTCCCAAGAGCCTCCCACTTCCTATGTATGTCACCATATCAATATAAGTTTACAATTTTTTTGCGTTTCTTTTCCTTGAGAAATTAATTGTAAAGACCTTCTTTTTGAAGTGGAAAGACAGATCCAACAATTTGGACATCGACACTTATGATACGACAAGCTACTCCGCTTTTTCGAAGAAGAGAACATCACGGAACATAGCTCTCGCCAAACATTTAATTAGAGAACAGGACAATGCCTATAAAGCGCCAACAAAAAGGGAAGGCCGCATGATCATGCATGGGTGCAAGATTCTTCGAAAAAATGCACGGGCTGGCTCAGTGACCCGAAATCTTAGACTAACAACGATTAAAGGAAAATTCGAAGAGTTTTCATTGCTAACGACTTGTGTAGTAATTGGCCTTATAAAACTCACTAATCTAATCTCCATAAATGAAAAATAATAGTTGGGATTCCGTCGGCAACTGTGAGTCTACGAAGATTTTTTTTTTTTTTTTTCCAATTCTATTCGATTTTGTTTGCATCACAATAACACGCGTAAATCTCGATCCTATTATAAGTGTCAATCTTATGTCTTTTATTTATTTTTTTATTAAACTCGTTGATTCTACGATCTATTTCATCGTAATCAGGTTCAAGAACTAACTCTACTCAATACGACTAAATTCTTCATAGAGTCGCGACAAAATCTACTCGATACAATTGAATTCTTGATAGAGTCATAACAAATCAATTTTGGGTCGTCTACTTTCTTTTGTACAAGTTATTTAATCCTATTTCTTAATAGTGAATCCACTAATTCAAGTTGACTATGATAAAGAGAGGAAATGGTGGTGTAAACCATGAAACCAATGAAAAAGAGACGTTTAGACTTTGCCAAGCATGAGATTTTTATGCAAATTTTGTAGAGTTCAGTGGGGGAAACAATGATTAAAGAAAGGATTTTAGGCCACGAGAGGATCAAAATTCGGAATTGTGTTCCCCTCACTTGCCCTCAACCCATCAATTTCAGTTCGCACTTTCACTATGTCCACAAGCACACACGAGGGTAAATAAAATTTGTAGGTAGACGACGATAATGTGTACGTGTCATCGAATGTGATCGATTTATTTATATAAAAAAGATTAAATATTTGATCGCACAAATATTAAACTAATATTCGACGCATTTTAAAAATAACTTATATTTAGAACTAATAATTAACTTTCATTATATGGGGTATCTAGAAAATATTAGTATATTTTTGCTCTAATACTTTTTTGTTATTTATAGTTAAGTTTTAAATTATTATTTCTTCTTTATTTTGTCTTTTCTTTTTTTTTTTTCTTTTTTTATTCACTATTCAATGAAAGAAAAATGACTGCCAAATTTTTATTTGTTTTGGTGGGATGCCACTCTTGGTTGGACCCTAAGAAGTCAATTAATTAATTCAGATTAGGTTTTTATTTGTTTTGGTGGGATGCCACTCTTGGTTGACCTTCTAAGATAAAACCTCAAATTTTAATATAGTATCAAGATAGGCAAAGATTTTAAGTTCAAGTCTTGTCATTACGCATTTAAATATAAATTTTATGCACGTGTTAGGCTTTATTAAAAAAAATAATAATATATATACACACACACACAAAAGGGAGCGTTTGAAGATGATATTTAAATGTTATACATTTGATTCTATCCAACATTTTAAACTTTTAGTTGAAATGATTCAACATAATATTAGAGCTCATTAACCTTCAATGAGAAAATTGATTCAATTACAACTTAAAATGAGCACATGAATTTTACGATTGATATGTTCAAATAAGTCACCATCTTACAAGAGCATGTTAAAGGATAAATCTCACATCGATTAAATACTAAACTATAAACCAACATGTTTAAACTATTCCTTTCTACAAAATTGAATTTTTAAGATATACCTCAAGTCTTACAATATGATTTCATTTATTCACCAAACCCTTGTTTAATTCCCATTTTTTTCAAAATATATTTTTCTGTCTCTTCTTTTCAACCACACATTCTTCAATAAAATAATATTACACGTAAACCCAAAACTTTTCCTTATTTTATAACAACACATTCTTCATCAATTTAGTATTCAAAAATGCATTACACCCCAAAAAATAAAAATAAGGCTCAAACAGGCCCCTCATCTTAAAATTGACGTTAAAGATGATTTAAAAAAATTTGACTTAGAAAAATATTAAATTTGGGATTTAAATCATCTCATAAGTGAAACACCGTAAAATCATTGATCTACGAGAAAACTCTTGCAAGCATCAAATATTTTGCTCTAAGGTTCAATGCCCTTTATGTGAATACTTTCTTCATCAATGTGAACAAATAAAAGTTGGAATCTTAATGCATTGCATTGAATTGTTAAATAGTAACCTAACATGGACTAGAAATGCTTAGTAGTTATAACAAAATTAACTATCAAATAAGGAAAATGCCTTTTCCACTTTGCCTTAGTGTACCAAATGTTACCATTCACTCTTATGGAAAGCCATTTTGACAAAAATGGAAAAAAATTCTCCAATTTTCAAATTTATCTCAAAGTGAACAATGCTTTATAGGTGGCTATGGTTAATAAAGAAAGTGAAAATAGAGGTAATCAATGTTCTTTTGCTTACATTTTGTTGAGATAGGATAGATTAGGTTTTGAGTGCTTCACTGTTTTTATTATTTTTTTCAATTATCTGCAATTCATTTTGTACTACGTTGACAAAATCAAAATATCGGATGCAACAATATAATAAAATTTGTTACAATAAGTAATGATTTGAAATATTTATCCAAATATAAGTAGATAAGGAGAAGTCGGTTCAAATAATTAAAATATCATTTTAATTATAATCACGCATCTATCAACATGTATTTTACCTGTACAACCTGTACAATTGAACAAAAACAGTTAGCACGAAGAATATGTTTTTTTTTTTTTTTTGATAATAGTGGATGTCCGGGCTAGCTTGCGCGCACCACGAATAATTCCACGGGGCCCGGAAGTTTACGGCCGGGTACTCACCTCAGTGGCCCTGAGGGGACTCGAACTGGTGACCATTGGGGAGCAAACCCAAGGCCTGACCAATTGAGCAACCCCTCAGGGTTAAAAAATCTTAACATATAACAAGCTTGTGCACACCTCGACTAATTCTACGAGACCCTGAAGTTTACGGTCGGATACTCACCTCAGTGGTTCTGAGGGGATTCGAACTTGTAACCATTGAGAAGCAAATTCAAGACTTGACCAAAGCACCAAGATATGTATTATAAACGGATCAGAGTTTATCATGCATCAACTTGATTCAACCTTCTTATTTTCAAAATAGTATGCTCCTATGTAATATTAAAATATTATTTGTTCTATAGCATAACATTTCGTCTTTTTTAAGGTACAATGGTCCATATTCTACAATAATAATTTGTTTATATATATTTTTTGTTACTCCCTACTTTTGTGATTATTTTTTTTTATGGAATTTTGATATCTTATGAGTAAATTTTACAAATTGTTATTGATGTTTGTGTATAATATCAAGTTAGTTCTTAAAGTATTTTTGATCTATTTAGTCACTGAGATTAATTAATGATATACTAATGGTTGTGACATTAATGTCAAGATGAATTAACGGGCGTTAATTCATTTGTCACATAATGAAGTTAATTTTACAAACAGTCATTGAAGTTTGTGTAAATTTCAAGTTGGTTCTTAAATTATATTTTTCACCAATTTAGTCACCGACTGTAGTTAAAGTTACACAAAAGGTAACTCGTTTAGCGGAACTAAAGGTCAAATCAAACGAATCGATGGCTAAATGCCTATGTAAACTCGAAATTTTGTAAGATTGATCAAACTTTGTCCGACTTTTGTTGGATTCACGCGCTTGTAATTACTTTATTTGGTTCAATTCTCTAATACCACCTTCGAGAAAAAGCAACCCTAGTTTTATAAATTTCAGTTTTTCATAATTTGTTTAAAATTGAAAAATTATTTTTACAAAGCTTTTTAGAGATTATAAGCTGATCAAACTTCTTTTTTAGCTACGCATTTGATTGAATTTACAATTTTATTTACTTTTTAATCACACATTTCATGAAACTCACATCCTCGAAATTAAAAAAAGCTTTATCATACAGGAGCTAAATTATTCATAAAATCCTTAAATCAACACTTTTCTAGTTAGGATTCTTAGCTCTTGCACCTTTCTTGAAGGTAGGATTTTTTTAGGTTTAAAATTGCTTCACTATTTTTTTCAGAATTTTCATCATTAACATTAACACTTTCTCTTTCATTCATTCTAAAATTAACTTTCAATGAAATCTATGGGTGGTTATCTAGGTGTTCCCTATTTTCTTAAATTAAAAATAAAACTATGTCTAAAACTTGGAAAAGAGATTAATTTTGGTGAATCATACAGTCGAATATAAGATCTTGACATTATCTATTTTTCTCTATCACAATGACTTGACGGAGTCACCATTTAGCCTGCATTAAATGAAAGAATAAAGAGTTGTATTATTGATGATAAAAGACCAATACGATAAAGTAAATTCGGATAAGTGACGGGTTTTATACCCCGTGATATGGACCTTCCATTAGGTCCGAATATAATTTGTACCAAACTGTCCAAATCTAGGACCCTACTCCAAGGAATCATACCATCAAGCTATAAATTGTTACTGACCAAGTTGGTAACACTAATTTTCAATGTTACATAAATCTTCAATACTTTGATAGTGAAATTTTGTATTCGTGCCCAATGAAAGAAATGGCTAAGCGTCTTGAAATGGCTTATCTTCTCCATATTAGTTAAGTCTACTTATGTAATCAGTTTGCATATCTAACGACATTCAAGAACCGACGTAGCCCTGTTAAGCAAGAATTATCGTCTTACGAGTCAGTTTTCATTTTTCTTCTTTGCCCAGTATGACACTCTACGACTAAGGAGAGTTTGATTTAGATGCTCAATTCGATGAAGTCAAGAACGAGTTCAAGTCGACGTGTATTGATTTTTTTAAAAAAAATTATAATATTTATTCAGATAGAGGTAGTTCAAAGAAATAGTATTTTTTATGTTGAAAGATTAAATTTGGTAAGAGTCAAGATTTCAAAGGTACTATTATTGAAGTTGTTG